CCCCGCCACGGCCGGTGGCCCTGCTCCTCAGGCAGGCATCACCCTGTCCCTCACATGGCTCACTGAGAGCAAAGCCCCTCACCCCCGCCCAGCCCCTCAGACCCCACGGAGCGCTCGGCAGCACGCGCTCACAGACAGGTCAAGCAGAGGAGAACCGGCCCGTGGCCATGCCCAGGACCCACCGAGATGGGCTGAGCCAGCTCCATGCCACCATCACTGCTGGGCATGCCGGTCCCCTGCAGGGCCTCGCCGTGTGTCCAGGCCAGGCTTTTGACACTTGTTTTTTTTGACGGCACGGGAAGGAGCCGCCTCAGCTCGCCCGGCACCTGGCCGCCTGACGCAGTGCCGAACAGGGAGGTGCCAGCGCCCGGCCAGCACTCGCAGGCACTGGGCAGCCAAGCCACCTTCCAGCAGTGGTGGGTTTTTAAACAGCACCAATCTTCCTATGCAAATAAAGCCTTTCCGGGATTTTCAGTGGTGTGCTGGGGGGGTTTGTCTCTGCCGAGGACCCTGTGGCCAGCTCCAGCTCCCAGCAGGCCCCTCTGTGTGTGGGAGGGACATGGGGACAAGGGCACAACAGCCCTGTGGGGACAGGAACCCTGACCTGCAATTATACCGAGATATTGTTACCGCCATGGGTGATTTTTCTGACATCATTAGTGGTCACTGTGGGGTTTTATCTCCTGTGTGGGAGATGCCAGCAGGGCTGAGCGGGAGCTGCCCACGAGCTCCCAGCTCCAAACCCCATCAACCCTCCTCCCCTCTCAGCTCTGTGGGGTGCTCCCTGTTGTCACCCCAGCTCCTTTCCACCCCATCCAGGCTTGGTCAGGGGACAGACGCAAGATGGGGCAGATGTTGGGCCAGGTAGGGTTTCGGCTCTGCAGTGGAGCTCACTCGAACATGGGCCAGCATCCCAACAGGCAGGCCTCCTCGCATGGCCCCTTCCCGCCAGCTTGCTGGGTGGCCTCCTCACAGAGCTGCCAGCTGTCCCAGAGCGCTTACGCCAGCCCTGGCAGTGCCACCCGGGGCCGGCGCTTTTGTCCCCAGCTGGCGCAGGGGCAGGCAGAGCCCGCAGCTGAGGGCAGAGTGCCCAAGGAAACATCAATCTCCCTCTGTCCTCCCAGCCAAGTTTTACAGACCGTCACTGTTGGTACCTCACAGCCCCATCACCCACCCAGCCCCATTGGGGTATTCTGCAGCAGGGAGGAGAGAAAGTGAGGTGCACCCATGCCGGTTTGATGCTGGGGTTGTTCTTTAGATGGGACAAACCAGACCTCCCTGAGGTCCTGCTCCTGTCCCACCCTAAACCTAGAGAGGACGTGGCCAAGGGGAGCGCTGGGAGCCGCTTCATGCCAGTACAGTGCGCCCGGTTTCTTCACTCCCTGCTCCCCTTTCTCCCCCTTGCTGAACATCAGGTCTGGGCACCTGGCATCTGGAGATAAACACTGCAGTCAGCCCTAAGCTACCCAGCTCCAGGAACCAGTGTGTCCCAGAAAAATGAAAATAGTAAAAAACCAGAACATCCTTCCTAACCTAAAGTCCCTAGGTCCCACCTGCTGATCATGGCAAGGTGGGGGGGTCTTGCTGCAGGCACCACACTAGCAAAGGCATGAGTGGAGCACTGCCCCATGGCCCTGCAGACCCTTACGGTTTGGGTATCCCCAGAAGCAGTTTTGGGGTCAGAAGCAGCACTCAGCCCCTGCACCTGGTCCTCCCAGCAGCCCAGTTTGGACTGGGAGCCACTGGGACACCCACCCAGCTGCAGGGCTGTCACTGCCCTCCAGCATCCAGCTCCAGTGGGTCCCTCACATCTTGGGGACAGTGACAGCACCCAAGCTGGCAGTGCTGAGCCCTGCACCTTCCTGCAAGTTGCAGCATGGCCAGTGGCCAGCCCAGGTGGTTATGTCCCCCAGAAAAGCCCACAGCCTTCAGATGGAGTCAGTTTTTCATTTCCTGCCTGAGGCTGTGCACTTGGGGATGCATCCTAGCCACCACAAGAAGCAGCAGTAGCCAGGCGACCAACAGCCACGGCCAAGTTAATTGCTGGTTTAAATGGAAGTTAATAGAGTTACAACAGGTTAACGGGACTCACAGACAGTAAAATGAGCATTATCGGCACTGGCAGCTTCCCAACAGCCTGCCAACAGCATGCCCAGGGCCAGGTGGCCACAGGCACACACAGGTTTGGGGCAGCACAGCACCTCACCAACCCCAAGAGCTCCCTGAGGTACCTACATGGGGCTGAGGAAACATGCCCTTGGCTGGGCACTGCAATGGCACGCCAGCCAGGCCCCCACTCTGCCAACCACAGAGGGCCTGATCCTGCTGGAGTCAAGGTCTGCCACTGCGCGTGGTGGCATCAGGGCACCAAACCTTGCCTTCCTTCCCCCCTCCTTCACCAGGGCCTCCTGCCCACCCCCACAGCCTGAAGCTGCCTTGGGGCAACACCAGCTGCCAGAGGTTTAGCAAACCACCCTGTCCAGGTGGGCCAATGTCCACAGGACAGCATGTTGCACGCTGTTTGGAACACCAGGTTTGGAGCCAGGCGAGTTCAATGCAGCAAGAACAGGCAACAAGCCCTGTGAGGGCTCTGAGCACTCAGTGCCCTTCACGTTACCAAGGCATGGACTTGTGTAAAATAAAGTATCAAGCTCCAAAGTCAGCCAGACAGTGCTGAGCAGGCCAGGGCTGCTCCTTACAGATGGGGAAACCAAGGCATGAGCAAAGCACCAGGATCTGGACTGGGAGTGAGCCCTGCTGGGATCTGGCCATGCCATGGTGCACAGAGCCCTCCCAGGACTGCAGACGCACTGTGGCCAGTCCCACTGGGACACGATCCTTCCACCACAGCTCTAGGTGCAGCGCACTCAAGCAGTCTGGCTGTGCTGGCACCCTAGCCCTCAGCACAGCTCTGGCAGCGCTGCCCCCGGGACAGAGGAACCCCAAGACCCAAGGGGCGCTTTGGCCCCCAGCACACTCCAGCCATCTAAGCTGCAGCATCACACCACAGCCCATCACCTCCGCTCCCTCAGAGGGGCTTTGCCAGTGCCCCACCAAACCCCTCACATCTCCCGCAGCATCGCTGTGGGGCAGCCTGCACCGTGCAGGGGAGGCCAGCCGGCACACACAGGCCATGGGGCACCCCACATGCTCCCAAGCCCAAGGGGCGTGGGTGTGCCAGGTACTCCCAGGGACATGCAGGACAGCTGGGAAGGGGCAGTGAGGGAGGGCTCAGAGACAAGCAGGGATCAGCCACACAGTGCTCCCAGCCCCTGGGCGTACAGGATAACTGCGTGGCTCTGGGCTGTGGTTTTGCACAAGAAAAAACAAATCAGTGAGGTTTTCCAGCACCCATAGTGGTTTGTTTTGTCCGACTTTGAGAAGCCTCTGCGCTTCAGCCCCTCAAGGAGCAGGGGGAGGACCCCAGCACTGAAACAAGGAGCAATTATCAAACCACGGGTTCTGAAGAGCTTTTGTTCCCTGCGCCAGAGCAGGGATCTGAGGACACCTAGCGAGATTCCGCAATGGCTCCATGCACCAGCAGCACCCAGAACCCAACGCAGTGG